AAGGACTATCACCAGTGAGAATGCTGTCGCACCACGGTGGTTGAATGAGGGTTGCCTAGTGATTGCATATGTAATCCTAAGCAAGAAAAATACTCTTGGCAGCTCAACCTTGCTATCTTTGCAATAGCAATAGCAACGCTTTGGCAGTCAATTAATAGCAATATTACAGATTTAGTGCTGGTTTTAGCATGTGACTAGATTTTCAGTTACAGATCACAAAGGAAGTAACTATTACGCACATCACAAGATATCAATGTCAGGACTACAGCACTGCAGGCAAGGATAGGTCGACAATACATTATTAACATTCTCAACAGCCCTAGACAAGTTTTGGTACGAGATTCATGACACTATATCGCAGTTTTCACAGTATATCGTGTTTTGATATCAATAACCTGCCATAAAAGCTGGCGATCGCTACGTTACATATGTCAAACAGTCCACCAAAGCTTTCCCTAAGACCAGTACCAAGACAGAAAATCCACAAACAAGCCATTCACTGTGCCGCCACCCGACAGCACCCGCGACGAGAATGGCCAGTTGGCGCCAGCTTTCGTGCGCTTCGAGGTGTTCTTTAGGTCTGGCTGCCCAGATGCTGCTAGGTACTGCTGTCGTCACAAAACCAATCCATGACGCCATCAGGCGATGACGTCATGGAGCGCATTTTACAAACTTCGAAATTTTGCTACTTAGCGTCGTTTTTAAACCTTGAAAGCTTGCCAATAGTTACAAGTAAGCTTTTCCCATCATATCTGATGTGTACCTCAATACCTTCAAATGTGGAACATCCCCTTTAACCAGCACCCGAGCGCCGTCCCGCGCTGTTCTGTCTGGCCGCCACGCTATCCCGCGCCGCGCCCGGCTGCCGAGCCGCGCCGCACCAGTATTCCTCACCGCCCTCGCGCACCGCGTGAGCTCGCCCGTACTGTCATCAAAAGAGGGCGTGTGCTCGGACACAGTCCTGCCACTCAGGCTGTGCACTGACACTTGGTCTGTACGGCATAAATCAGGGTGCAAGCCTGCGATAAATAGTGTGCGTGATTATTACAGATAACCTCTCATTGTAACAATTACTATTAGTGAATACGCTCAATATGATGTCTCATTACTGTTGATGCGTTAAGTATGTTGATATGTTTCATGTAGTCTTACCACAATGGAATAGAAACTATAACTTTTTAACGCTTTACATTGATTCACCACGAAACTGACTCCACGGCGTCAACCGGTACGCACTCGCTGCAGCCTGCTATCAAGCGCATTTAGCGTCACCATCTGCCTAGGAAGTTTGAAAGCGAGTAAAAATAGAGCGAGTCTCATGTATTCATGATGCTATCTAGATAGGTACTTTAATGAAAGAAGAGTCATGAGTGTTTTACATAACCTTTGTGGATGTGTACTGACTGTAAGGTTTTCATAATGTGTGTTACGATTTGCACTCATGTTATGTTCGTTTTGACCAATGACAACGACAAAAATTGTTAATATTTACTCCAAATTTCATCGAGAGGACCTCACGCTGCAATGCAACAAGGCTATATTGCTTGGCGGTAGATATCTCCGGAACTATAGAAACCTCCAGATGCCTCAAGGCATTACTTTTCTAGAATCCTCAAAATTTTCTAGGACGAAGAAAGCACTAAAAGACATCTAAACCTCCTGGGAAAAAGCTCACTGACCTTGTTCCAGGCGTTCCATCGGAGGTATGAGGCCTGAGGTATGCCTAGCTTCCGAAATGCTATCCGATACTTCCTTTAAAAAGCCGCGTTCAGCGTCTCACTACCCACCAGCTGTATCAGACAGTTCTGGGATCGCAAGGCGATCCCCACTTTTTGATTGGTTCAGGCGACCATCGGACAATGTCGCACTCGTTTCTTATTGGTTAACATCACGTCATTTCTATACCCTACGACTATGAATCAGTTCCGAAGAGCGCCGTACATCAGCTGTGCCATTGGTGAACTTGTAGGAGGCTCCGACTCGCTCCGAGCTCCGACAACATTCAAACATCGCACTTCACATTAGCATGATATGTCAGTTCGTAGGACTCAGACTTCTAGACTGGGTGTGTGCGATGTATTATACTTTGACTACCCGTTCACAACAAATGCATAAAATTGTTCACACGTGATCTTAGCACGCATTCATTGCACTTCACCATAGAGTCGTCAGTGGTTGCATTAGGATGCAAATATTGATGGGCTGCTTACATGTATTTAGAACTGAAAAAGGCTAGAAAGGTCACACGATTTAAAGGCTGTGTGAAAGGGCTTATAAACTACAGACAAAAGCTGAATGAATCTTTTGGCCCAAACGCGAAGGGATGTGATTAGGTGAAGTGGATCCTCAGTACTTCTAGTCTGCTACGCAATGTTTTAACATGAGTATCGCTCACTATTTGAAGATGTTTCAATCAGCTACTCGGCACCCTGTTGTGTCAAATATAAACGTTCTTAATGGGAGCCGAGTATAGAATTGAAGAGGTATAAAAGATCAGCATATATTTCCGTAGTTTTGTACTAGATTTTATGCACAGTTGTTTGCGCCTTAATTTCCTCGGACTGTTTTAAAACGCCTGGGCGCACCCGGGGGAGAATGCAAGCGCTGGCATTGCCATATATAATTGTTAACAAAAAACAGCGCGCAACTAACAACAGCAACTTTTCTAAAAATATATCCTTAAATGCATACCGGACGCACGCATGCACCAAACCAGGTTACGAAAAGAATACAGATGGAAAACAGCACACGAATATGCTATGCTTGACAGAAAGACAAAAGCTGAAATTCAATGCACACACTTTTGCCATGTTGTCTCCATTTATTTCATACGCAACCTTGAGTACGATAAATTGCACCTCTGACCAACACATCGCGATGTTGTTCGTTACGAACAGTCGTCTGCTGGTACATCCATGTTCACCACACACTCATGATGCTCCTTTGTACCATCCCTGGCAAAACCAAGCAAGTTAAATCCTCAACGTGACATGCCGCTCCAACACATCTCCTCTACGACTAAATCTGCTGAGTTTATTTTGCTTAATTGTCGCTCACTTGTCCACTTGCTACCGATTCACAGTCCTTACTTTAAAGTCAGGCATTGGTGTCTCGCCACCGTTATTTAGTTTTTTTCTTCTATCCGCAACAAGCTGTTTCGCAAAGAACATTGCATAGTTTAGCACGGTGGGAGCCCCGATGCATCAAGAGATAGTGTGTTCAGCACGTGGTCTGTCAGCTTTCGGCCGATCCGGCGCTAAAATCGAGAAGGTTCTCGCAGAATTGCTCGACTGTGTCGCAGTGCGCCAGGAAATTCGCAAGGGTGTCCAGCCGTGAACAGAACTTGCCGTGCCGCAACTCACTACTCGCCTGTTGTGCAAGATCTTTTGGGTACGCATGCACTTCTTTAGTATTCTATATTGTAATGTATGTATCTTGTAGAGGCTGTGCACTTGCAGGGAAGATCAAAGTTCGCATTCCATTTTTGTACATTCTTATGGCAACGACATTCTTGCTCCCAATTAATCTAACACCTCGCTTGACAACGGCAGGCAGCAAAGCTCTATATAACTGTCTGCACGACACTTTTTTGACATCTACTTCTGACATATCAGGCGAGGTCATGAGCACCTCAATATTTTTCACTTCTCTCGCTATAGCACAATTCGTGCGCTGCCTAAGAACGCGTCACCATTCTCGTGGAACTGTATGCGTAAGGTGCTGATAATCAAATTGCCGTGTCTCTGCGTTCGAAAACCGCCGTTGCAGCCGCCAATGGTTGACTAATGTGCCGTGCCGTGCCAAGCCACCACATTTTTGCTATTTTCCAGCCGGTTATTAGTCAACCGCAGCCGGTTGACTAATGTGCCGTGCCATGCCAAGCCACCACATTTTTGCTATTTTCCAAGTGCAGCGCAGAAACAAACAAAGGCTTATTGTCAACTTCAAAGTATCTGTTTTACCATAGACTCTGCGTATGGAGCGTTTGGAGTGATACAATCCTGCTGACAGTTTAGTTTGCCATGAAAGCATACTAATGTACAATTATGGAATTCGTTGTATCTGCAGGCTCCAGTCTGGTGCCCTGTGCCACGACGAGACCACCCCAGCTGTTGCCAGGTTCAGACACAGTGGCCACAGCGCGCCGCGAGTGACTGCCTGTGGGTCTGGGTCTCGGCTCATTGACTGGCATGGGGCCGCCGGTGGTGACCCAGGCGCCGTCACAGCTGGCTGGTCTGGGTCTGGGTCTGGATCTCGGTGGCTGTCGTGGAGTCGCCGGTGGTGACCCAGACGCCGTCACAGCTGGCTGGTCTGGGTCTGGGTCTCGGCTCAGTGGCTGGCGTGGGGCCGCCGGTGGTGACCCAGGCGCCGTCACAGCTGGCTGGTCTGGGTCTGGGTCTGGGTCTCGGTGGCTGGCGTGGAGTCGCCGGTGGTGACCCAGACGCCGTCACAGCTGGCTGGTCTGGGTCTGGGTCTCGGCTCGGTGGCTGGCGTGGGGTCGCCGGTGGTGACCCAGGCGCCGTCACAGCTGGCTGGTCTGGGTCTGGGTCTGGATCTCGGTGGCTGTCGTGGAGTCGCCGGTGGTGACCCAGACGCCGTCACAGCTGGCTGGTCTGGGTCTGGGTCTCGGCTCGGTGGCTGGCGTGGAGTCGCCGGTGGTGACCCAGACGCCGTCACAGCTGGCTGGTCTGGGTCTGGGTCTCGGCTCGGTGGCTGGCGTGGGGCCGCCGGTGGTGACCCAGGCGCCGTCACAGCTGGCTGGTCTGGGTCTCGGCTCGGTGGCTGGCGTGGGGCCGCCGGTGGTGACCCAGGCGCCGTCACAGCTGGCTGGTCTGGGCCTGGGTCTCGGCTCGGTGGCTGGCATGGGGCCGCCGGTGGTGACCCAGGCGCCGTCACAGCTGGCTGGTCTGGGTCTGGGTCTCGGCTCGGTGGCTGGCGTGGGACCGCCGGTGGTGACCCAGGCGCCGTCACAGCTGGCTGGTCTGGGTCTGGGTCTCGGCTCGGTGGCTGGCGTGGGACCGCCGGTGGTGACCCAGGCGCCGTCACAGCTGGCTGGTCTGGGTCTGGGTCTCGGTCTCGGTGGCTGGCGTGGAGTCGCCGGTGGTGACCCAGGCGCCGTCACAGCTGGCTTGTCTGGATCTGGGTCTCGGCTCGGTGGTTGCTGTGAGCTTGCTGACGTCGCAGGTCCTCCCTGATGACGGCAGTCAGCAGGGCCCCCAGCACCAGCGCGGCCGCGAAGCAGAGATTGGCGGCTCTCTCGTCATAGCTGGCCGGAGAGGCGACAACAATCAGTCAAAGTTGTGCCCCACGTAGAAGCTTCAGATTGCCTCTAGCACGTAATGCAATAGCGAGGTTCCTGGCTCTTTGTTTCGATTTGGAGCAGCCGATTGACACACATTAGGGACACCCTAGAACTGAGAAAAAGAGTATTATATATAAATATATATATACACTCAAAAAAATAAATGAAAACCTCTCCTGGCTAAAGGCAGGAGTGTACACGTATCATCTAAAGCACATTTAGGTTAGCGGAATACTTCAATGCTTTTTCTCTGTTCGTCCCACGTACTCGGTCAAGAGGGCGCCACCGGCGATGGTTAATATGATGCCGAAGATCTGCGCCGAGGCGTTCAACAGGCCGGAAGTGGTAGCTTCCGGTTCAGGGTATGTGATCTCAGCAGCAAACTCGAAGCCCAAAGGTAGGTAGCCGGTCATGAAGAAGCCCAGGAGACCGGCGGTGACGTACACAAGACTGATGTAGCCCAAAGGCAGCGTGAACGTGAAGGCAAACAAGCCGGCCACGCTCAGGATGTACACGACCACCGTCGTGATCCTGCGGAAAACAGCACATCAGTCACCTCCAGCTATCACATTGTTAATGTCAGCAGATGGTTTTCGTCAAGGCCAGAATGCTGCTGCAATGCAAAACATTCCGTTTCATATCCACCATAGGATTGACAACTACCGTGCAGCCACGACAACTAACTTGCGTTATGGTGGCTGTGGTAGTGAAAAGTTTAGGTTGTCCTGTCGGCCATTCAGAGAGTCAAGGAGAGGGGCAAGCTGGTTGATATGCTGAGGCTCACAAAACCGACGACATAAACAATGACGTCACAAGCTACCCTAGATCCGTAGTCTAGTTGGATTTAGTTGGGACTCCTTTGGCCTGTCCTCACCACTTCCGAACTACATCAGCGAAAGAGGGATAAATAAAGATAATTCAGGTGAAATAAAGTGCATACCCAACCATACAACCAGTTGCACATAACCACAGAAGCAAGGCAGCCGACACGACTCAGGCCGTACTCTGCCCTGTCTCCAGGCCCTACTCTGCCCAGTCTCCAGCCCGTACTCTTCCCAGTCTCCAGGCCGTACTCTATCCTGTCTCCAGGCCGTACTCTGCACTGCCTCCAGGCCGTAGTCTGCACTGCCTCCAGGCCGTACTCTGCCCTGTCTCCAGGCCGTACTCTGCCCTGTCTCCAGGCCGTACTCTTTCCTGTCTCCTGGCCGTACTCTGCCCTGTCTCCAGGCCGTACTCTGCCCTGTCTCCAGGCCGTACTCTGCCCTGTCTCCAGGCCGTACTCTATCCTGTCTCCTGGCCGTACTCTGCCCTGTCTCCAGGCCGTACCCTGCACTGCCTCCAGGCCGTACTCTGCACTGCCCCCAGGCCACATCCTACACTGTCTCCAGACTGTACCCCGTCGGCTCAGCGGGCGGATCTGCACCTGACGAGGCGTGCTGGGATATGGGATCTTGCGCAGACGGGAGCTAGAAGGACGATGGTGAATAGCGGTCGAAATAGGAAATTCAGGGTGTGGTTCACATCTGCTAGAGGTTCATGACTAGAGCCTCAAAGCTTTTGTTGGCTTCTGCCCACGAAATGACACCACTGAGCCACCGATTGATTGATTCGTGTGTGATTGAGTGATTCGCACAAGAAGCTGAGCGTATAATGGGATGGCTGATCAATTCAGTTTGCAAAGTTACGGGAAGTTCACACTGTTCCTTAACTCCCCACTTACTAGGGTGCAGTGAGGTCAAGAGCAACCTAAGATCTTTGTGTACAGTGTGATCTGTCTCTCCAACTTATGGCAAACTTTTCACACTATAACTTGAATTAAGGTCCTCTCATTTGTTTTGCAACATGCGCATCTTTTAGTGTCCTTCCCACAATGCCTCTAAAACGGCTCGGGTCTACCGAAAAATAGGTGTTTGGACAAATGTGTGGATAAATGCGGCATGTACTTCTCGTTAATCTGGTATTTGTTTTCTGCTAGAAACGGTATCTATGTGACGTAATAATTATATGAGGTTTAAGTCGCGACACGGCCCAAATGGGTGTGTGTTTAGTGGGGAGGGGAAGCATCGTACTGCGGTTAAGGATATTGCTTCCCATTCAGTTGGGCGTTCCCTCAGCATGGACTCCAGGCTCTCCAACTTTGACAGAAAGGCGGGCCAAATCCGGGGAAAGCCCGTTTGTTGGCAAATTTCAGTGATAGGTTTCATAGTTCTCAAGGTTCAGCCCCCCTCCCAATTTACTTTGCAAAAATACGCTCTTCATTGCAATGCTTCGATTATGACAGCGTTTCAGCCTATGATGTAAGGGCCAAAGAAAACACATATAACTGTCCTCCTTCAGGAAGTTGGGTCTTATTGGGGTACAAATCGCTTTCAGAAGTCAGAACTTGATTTCGTTGCCGAAAAATTAGAACTGTTTTTCGGTACGCTCGATTTTTCTATCACTTTACACAGCCAGGACAAGTTGCAGCATTTGTTTAGCCGATTGAAAGCTTCCAGATCTGCTTTGAGCGAGTAATCAGGGGTGTTTAGAGCTAATTTTCCTGTGCGATGGGATTATCATCCCCGCTTTATATGTGTGCCCCACAGCACGGAACTGTCCCACGGTTACTGACCTCAGATGGATGATGCAGATCCAGTGCGAGTGAAGCAATTGGAAAAGCAAATAGTCGCAAGACCATTTGATTACAAGCTACGTTCAAACGAGAATTGTGCAAGACCATTTGATTACAAGCTACGTTCAAACGAGAATTGTGCAACCATGACCAGGTAAATAACAGCAATTAGATCACTGAATGCATATTAAAGAGGCGCGTTTTCGACAGACGTAGCTATCTTCCGATCAGACTCAAATACGATAAAGACGGAGCTATCTTCTGATCAGACTCAAATACAATAAAGCAGCTTAATACAATTAGGCCAAAGAGCTTGGAGGGAATGGCCAAAGAACATTTTACCCCAGGGGGATTGTAAACGTTTCATGCCTGATGGGGAGAGACCTAACGTTGTTCATACTACGGGGCAAAATATCACAATATTTCGAAACCTCTTTGTCTTCAGCATGCTGTGCGCAGAAGGCCAGCTCAGAAATGCTCAGTCGAATGTGCGATCTGACATGTTTTAGCCGTGTTTGCCTTATACTACGACAGGTACTTTAGATTTTACATTTTGCCACAAGATGGCAGCATAGCCCCACACTGGCTCTTACGATTGATGCGTGAAAATGTATGGTGGTACCTCGAGTAGACAGTTCAATAAATCTCTACAAGCAACGTCGGAGAATGATGTCACGTGGTCTAAAAATATAACACAGGATGCCATCGGTCGGAGCATCACTTCAGGAGCGGCGGCTACCGAGACCACTTCACGTGGAGGACACCGCTGCTGCAGTTTTACGGAAGGATTGAGGCCAGAACGAAAGTGTTAAACAAATTTCCGACCGCCATAGTGGTACGTGGGAATGGCGGACCCACGTATGTGGATGCTATCGCAAAGATAGTGCGTGAGCATGGTGCATAACACTAGTTAATGGTGTACCTTGAAAGGTTTACGGCCCAACCAGTATCGATCCATAATAGCCAGGCGCTGTGGGCCATCCTAATTCACCCCTTTATGAGATTATTATTCATTCATATGAGATTATTCGTTTTAACACAAAATTGTTACATAGGGTTCCATGAGGTGCCCGGCAGAGTTGTTTGACCGTTACAATATAGTTGCGTGCAAAAGTTTAGTGCGTGACATGGCGTGCCACACTACTGTAGCACTAGCACTTACAACAATATGACAGCATGCCGGCGACCATAATAATTAACGTCATATTTCTGGTTGTATTCAAGCAGCAACAATTAAACTCGTATTCTAACATCACCACAACTTAAAACAAATTAACACCCTCACTTGACGTCCTTTTATAAATCAACTCGCAAATTGCAAAGAGAACTGAGTATTGGGGCCATGGCCGTGACAAGTGGAGGGCAGTTCTAAATCCACCTCAAAGCAAACCGTTTAGATGACGTTTAAAAACCGGCAACCAGTGACATTTGACCGTTTTGCCTGCCTCACTCCAACCAACCAACGAAAATATGCAAGCAAAAGCGAAGCCAGCCCTGAGGCATAGTTCACCGAGCACTATATTTCTCCCTGGACGCACGCCGTATGGACAGAGCGGCACGCTCTTCCGACAGCTTCGGCAGAGTCCCACGGACCATGCACTGCCCGCGCTGCCGGGAGCGGGCAAACGAGCGTCACCTACTTGAAGCGGTGCGTTTTGTCCAGCCAGACGCCGCAGAGGATCGAGCCGACCAGGCCGGTCACCACGATCACCAGTCCGACGCGGCCGGCGTCCTCGTTGGCACCCTGCCAACAGCGCGAACGGACACCGGTCACTGGAACGACAAGCAGCGGACACAAACACGCCCCCCCCCCCCTCCATCCACCCGGCGGGCACCGGTCACTGGTGCAGCGAGTAACGTATACAAACACCGCCGCAACCCCCCGCCCCCCGCCCCATCCGCACGGCGGACACTGGTCACTGGTGCAGCGGGCAGGCGGACACAAACGCGCCGCGACCCCCCCCCCCCCTCCGCCCCCATCCGCGCGACGGACACTGGTCACTGGTGCAGCGAGCAGGCGGACACAAACGCGCCGCGATTCTCACCCTCCCCCCATCCCCAGCCATCGGACCTGGTAAGATTGCCTAAATAATGTATAAGGTACGAAAAGATGATATTGGGATGCCTACAAGAAACACAAAACATCAACATCTTCACGGTCGATGTTTACCTTGATCCAATGAATTCTAAGCAAAAGCTTACTCATGACTGCAGTCTGCGAGATGGTGTGATTTCATCGCTGCGCGGAAACTGTACATAAAGTTCGCCCATTATATGCATTTCAGATGCATGCACATTATACTTGATCTGACAGTCATCCACCTACACCTACTACGCAAAATGTACAACAAGGCATCCGCCCGGCGGTGTGCCACAGCTGAGTGCGCTGTTGGTCTGGCACACGAGACGCGGGGTCAGACAGCCCAACGGACATGTTCAATGTCCCAAGGGTTTGCCGCTGTAATAAGGTGAGCTAGCAGTACATCCTCCTGGATGGCTGTGTAACGACAGCGATACCTGGCTCTCGGCCAGCACATCGTCGACCAGCCAGAGCTGGCAAACCTCTTATCTGTAATAGTCCGTGATTGAACCCAGCATTGACCGGAGCCTCTCCAGTCACCCAGGAGAAGCTGTGGGCTCATTGCTTGCCTCACTCCTTCTTATCATCTAGGACCAATGGGCCCATTTCGCCGATGCAAGAAGTGGTCATAGGATTGGACGTCGCAACCCAGAGAACAGCCTTACTAGTGACCTGCAAGTTCACTATTGACCGGTGACCTATTGACCAGTGACCTGCAAGGTCATTGATGCCGTCAAATGTCAGGACAATTTCCGATCCGCTCATGACCATGATTTCGAAAGACTCGCAATCCGTTGTTTGCATGCGAAGGCCAGTCTGGTGCCAGAAATTCATGTATGTAATAGCATGATGACTGGTTATGCTAAACAGGCCGAGCTCATGGGAAGAACTGGCCTCTAGGATTTATCGGCGCATGAGCAATGCAATAGCAGGATTTAAATGACGTTATTATGACGTCGTGCGTTCCAAGGTGACCTTGGAAAATAATCTCTCATAATTATGTTTCCGCATCTTTGCGGCCTTTAAGCTCAGGATCTGTATATATATATATATATATATATATATATATATATATATATATATATATATATATAAAGGTTTTGAGTACTAAAAAGGGCATGGCCGTTAGCTACATCGAAAGGTCTTCAATATGGCTATTTCAGTTCAAAACCCCATACAAATGTGAGACACTTCCTTTAACTTCACTGGTAATCACCAACTACCAGTCATATTCATTATTGTACAACCTGGGAGATTCGCAAACTGTGAAGTGCAAGGAGAGATAAAACCAGAAAAAGAGTGCAAGGAAAAAGAGTCAAGTGCAGAGGGAAATGGCTGTATATGTATATGCACATTGAAGTTGAAACCAAGTCACACTTTAAGTTGAATACACAACTTCCATTAAAAACAATAATATTCCAAATCAATGCAAATCATGACACCATAGACTTTTTCATACCATATAATTATATACCATCGACTTAGACATGCTCAAAACGACGACAAACTCTTCGCAGTCGCGTCTTTTCTCTGATGAGAGAAACACGTGTCGTTTTCTCCCATCACTGGTGCTATGTGATGTTATTTGCCACCGGTGAAGTAAGGGAACTTGTCATTAAACAAATGACCTATGGCCTATGGTTAAAAGACTATGGAAACAGGAAGTTCCGTGTATAATTAGTTTCTCTTGGGTGCGCCATTCACACATTGATTGTTTCCGTCCCGCTGATTGGTACAATTCGTATCCTAGAAGAGCTGTGTTTGTGCCCGTCCAACGCATGCAGGCATCGAAACCATGAATGATAGCAATAATTTCATTGAGATATTATCGTAAAAAGCCTCGATAGACATTCCATCGCCGGTAACATCAATAGCTTGCCGGAAATACCTGCAGGCGTGTCCTTTTGGAAAACCAAAAAGACTGGACGCACTCCCTCTAACTAATACAGCCGTCACAGCATACGGCCCGCGAGACAGCTTACTGCTATGCGTGGACGTGGGTAGATGTCGATTTCAAGTGCAAAGGAGGTGGCTGGTGGCAGCGGTGCGAGTCAGTGGGATGGTGCGAGACCTCGGGTGTGGAGGTGGCTGGTGGCAGCGGTGCGAGTCAGTGGGATGGTGCGAGATCTCGAGCCTGGAGGGGTGGCTGGTGGCAGCGGCGCGAGTCAGTGGGATGGTGCGAGATCTCGGATGTGGAGGGGTGGCTGGTGGTAGCGGCGCGAGTCAGTGGGATGGTACGAGATCTCGGGTATGGAGGAGGTGGCTGGTGGCAGCGGCGCGAGTCAGTGGGATGGTGCGAGATCTCGGGTATGGAGGAGGTGGCTGGTGGCAGCGGCGCGAGTCAGTGGGATGGTGCGAGATCTCGAGCGTGGAGAACGCGGTTGTTTAAAAAAAAGAATTCCCAGGAGAAATATTCGTGCCTATATTATCGATTAGTCCGTGCAGATGCGCAGGGACTATGCATCACGCGAAGGTCATCTTCTATAAAGCTGATGAACTCTCCAACATTCTTTTGTATGTCGACAGGCATTGGTCGTTTTCGTCCTCACCTCTTAAAGATTCATCTCCATAACCCGAGCTAAAATTAGTAGAGCTCTAAATTATGTAGGGAATTAGAGCGCTGGAAGATATTATGATTGGACTGCCAAACAATGGAATCAAGCCAAAACGCTACATATCA